AACATTGACCAATGAACCAAGAAAATGAGGTCAAGGTCATATGAACCCTGCCGTACAGACATGTACACCTTACAATCATTCTAAATATGGTTGACCTATTGCTTATAGTATCTGATAAACTGACAAAATTACGTAACTTATTGACCAATGAACTATGAAAATGAGACTTAAGTTACAGGGAAGGTAATGACGTCGCTAACGTAAAATGTTATTTTTCGCGACGTCAAACTGTGACATATCGAGGAAAGATGAATTTTTAGACTTTTTTTTTATTACTAAGACTTATTTAACTCGGAAACGAGTTCATGGACCCCTCTTTTTGAAAATGACATTTGGCTTGATTATGTATGAAGATTATGTGTACCAATTTTAATGAACAAATCACCGATGAATTTTTTATAAATGTACAGCCAAAAATGCAGTTTTTTGACTAAAATCATGAAAAAGTGATAAAAATTAATTATTTCCAAAGAATTGTTACATAAATTCAAAACAAACCTATGTAGAGCAGATATTCCAGATGTGTTTACAAAAATCCGCTTGCGTTTATCTTTTGAAACAAAAAAGTTAGGTACGTCTTTCCAAAGGATAGAAATGTCCAAGAAACCGAAATGTCCAGTAAATGTCTAAAATTTCGACCCCATTTATCTCTAAAAGTAGCACATAAAGGTATATATTTTTATTACATATTTGAATTGAGTAGGTGAAAAATAGCTTGTATGCAAACTTTCATCAAAAATTCACCGTGAGATCAAAACTGTATCGTATGCCCTAAAACTAATAGTTTACCATGTTTACGCCGTCGCCGCCGAATTGTAATACCTATGTCTCGCATACTGCGACTTTTGTTGCAGGCGCGACAAAAACCTTTGACTTGTCTACCCTTTACAACAGTATTCCGCATTCCAAACTAAAGAATTGGTCTTGTTTTGTTTTATAAAAAAGTTTGGCCAACGTAGATACACAAATCTTGTCTTCGGGAGAGATAAATTGTACTTTGTAAAAGAATACTCTGATTCAATTAAAAATTCTCTGAAACTGACATTTTCAAGGTACTTGATTTCTTGATTGACAACGTTATCATATTTGTTACGTTTGGAGGACAAGTTTTTCAACAAACAATCCGCATTCCCATGGAAACCAAATGTGCTCCTCTTTTTGTCGATATGTTCCTTCATTCATATGAAACAGACTTCAAAAACATTAGCTTCTCGTGAAGAAAGAAAAGAAGGTAGCATTTTCCTTTTTCTTCGCATTCCGCTATATAGATGATTTTCTCTCACTAAATGATTCAAAGTTTAGTGACTATGTTGAACGCATCTATCCCATCAAACTTAAAATAAAAGATATAACAGATACATTTAAGTCTGCCTCGTATCTTGACTTTCATCGAGATATTGACAATGAAGGTCAGTTGATTACAAAACTTTTGACAAAAGAGATGATTTCAGCTTCCCAATTGTGAACTTTCATTTATATGTAGCAACCTTCCAACAGCGCCTGCGTATGGAGTATTTATCTCCCGTTTAATATAGTATTCGAGAGCTTGCATTTCCTATGACGATTTCCTTGATAGAGGAATGCTGCTCACAAGGAAGCCACAGGCGCTTGGGTATATGATACAGAATTTTTTTTGAATTTTTTTTGTTGTTGATTAAAATATTCAATTTTCTATATTTATACTACATATCTATCACTACTGCGCATGTCTCACCTAGTTTCGAGTGATTTTACCAACTTTGAGACAAACCCCCATTTTACTATCCACACTAAGAAACAAAAAGGCAACTAACTCGACGCCATCTTGCGTGCTATAAATAAATAATAAAAATTGACCTACCTGGATTCCCCATCGATTTTTATGGAAAACATGCCTTTCTCGCAGTCCGATCGCAGACGTCGTTTCTATTTATCAAATTGCTACTGTTCGTAACATTTTTAGTCCATCTCAAGCATATAATAAAAAGATTTTCACTATTTTCACTAAATTCAAATTTTACAGACGCCATCACGAGTTGGTTAAGGAATCTTTATACAGATGACAACAGATATGTTCTAATTGTGGTAACGACAATCCTGACTTACCACAGGGTTTTTACTTACAGAAACAACACGACAGGTGCCACATGTAGAGCAGGATCTGTTTACCCTTCCAGAGCACCGGAGATTCCCCTGGTTTTAGTGGGATTTTGTGTTCCTCAATGTTTACCCTTCCAGAGCACCCGAGATTCCACTGGTTTTAGTGGGATTTTGTGTTGCTCAATGTTTACCCTTCCAGAGCACCAGAGATTCCCCTGGTTTTAGTGGGATTTTGTGTTGCTCAATGTTTACCCTTCCTGAGCACCAGAGATTTCCCTGGTTTCAGTGGGATTTTGTGTTGCTCAATGTTTACCCTTCCAGAGCACCCGAGATTCCCCTGGTTTTAGTGGAATTTTGTGTTCCTCAATGTTTACCCTTCCAGAGCACCCGAGATTCCCCTGGTTTTAGTGGGATTTTGTGTTCCTCAATGTTTACCCTTCCAGAGCACCCGAGATTCCCCTGGTTTTAGTGGGATTTTGTGTTGCTCAATGTTTACCCTTCCAGAGCACCAGAGATTCCCCTGGTTTTAGTGGGATTTTGTGTTGCTCAATGTTTACCCATCCTGAGCACCAGAGATTTCCCTGGTTTCAGTGGGATTTTGTGTTGCTCAATGTTTACCCTTCCAGAGCACCAGAGATTCCCCTGGTTTTAGTGGAATTTTGTGTTCCTCTATTTTTACCCTTCCCCGAGTACCATAGATTCTTCTGGTTTTTAGTGGGATTTTGTGTTGCTCAATGTTTACCCTTCAAGAGCACCGGAGATTCCCCTGGTTTTAGTATGATTTTGTGTTGCTCAATGTTTACCCTTCCAGAGCACCATAGATTCTGATGATTTTAGTGGGATTTTGTGTTGCTCAATGTTTACCCTTCCAGAGCACCAGAGGTTCCCCTGGTTTAGTGGGATTTTGTGTTGCTCAATGTTTACCCTTCCAGAGCACCAGAGATTCCCCTTGTTTTAGTAGGATTTTGTGTTGCTCAATGTTTAGCTTTCTATGTTTTTTTGGTAAAATGTTATACAAATACACTTTTATTTTAAAGTGGATACAAATTAATAGCAAAAAGAATAACAACTTGACTTAGAAGCATAAGGATGACAACATGTGGACCAGGATCTGCTTACCCTTCTGGACCACTTGAGATCACCCCCCATTTTTGGTGGGGTTCATGTTGCTCAGTCTTTGGTTTTCTATGTTGTTTTGTGTGCTGTTGTTAGTCTGTTTGTCTTTTTTCTTTTTTGGCCATTACATTGTCAGTTTGTTTTTGACTTGTGAGTTTGAACGTCCCTTTGGTGTCCTTCGCCTCTCTTTTGGAGATTAAGGATCCACTTTTAGTTAACATCATTAAAGTATTAAGATTGATTGATTTTTGGTGTTTTAATGCTACTTTCAGCACTATTGGCTATTTTGTGGCAGCTAGTTTTTATTGGTGGAGGAAACCTGATTGCCCAGAAAGAACCACCGACCTTTGGCAGGAAAACTGACAATCCTAGTCAATTAAGATTGGAGTCAAGCACACCTGCCATGTGATGTGCTCCAACGTACAATCTCAGTGTTGACAGGCTAGTGGTACAGAATTAGAAATACTTACGACTACTCAGACACCAAGGACCCGATGTAAATAAGTAACATTGAGACAATGACCATCTACCACATAAAAAAGATCAAGCACTACTTAGACCACTCAGCCACCAAGGACCACAGTGTTAATAAGTAACATTGAGACAATGACCATTTACCACACAAAAATGATCAAGCACTGTATGTTTTACTTCTAGAATAACTCTAATTTGTAATACCTGGTACAACATACAAAATGAAACAGGACAAATGATAAAACCATGTAAAAATTAAATGACGTACTGTTCAAAACCTGCATCCATACACCAATCTTCTTTTATTTTAGTTTATAATGACTTAAGTATGTAAATGTCAACAGAAAAACACATCAATTAGGCATTCGAATTACCAGCTCGATAGTCAATGCTCCAGTTAAATGTATATCTGCATATTTTTAATTGATTGATTATTTTCTTAACATTTGAGTGGAAATCTGAAAAAAAAATTCATACAAATTCAGGACCGACAGAATGATTCAATATGTAGTTCTGCAAAGTAAGTCGACCGGGATGAAGGGCAAAAATTTCTACTGCAACTGGGAAATGAGGAACATGTACAGTGCATAGGGCTGAAATTTTTCATTGCAACAGGCCAACTGTGAACTCCTGAAAGACTTGTTTCAAGGTACTAAAACATGCAGACAGCGTGACACTCTATGTAAGTATAGCTTCAAAATTTGACCAAATATGGATGCTTATTTAGACGTCTCACACAGCCAAATGGATGATTCTTTTTAGAATGGGTTCAACTAGTATGATGAATGTGATATGTCCATGGATGACCATATTTCTATATGCAACCAATCCTTAGGGTTATTTAAATCTAATAAAATCAGATCAATTGTGAACAATGAGCATGATGAGTGCAGAATTTACATATATTTTATTTCTAAATATTAATATATCAGCTATATTTCTACCATATATCATGTCTTTTGTACCTGTACCCTTTGAAAATTGAGCTAAAACCCATTTAAAATCAAACAATAGTTGTAAATGTAAATTAAAATTCAATTGATTTCCAATTTCGAAGTTGAAAAATACTATTAACAGATAAATCCGATTACATAAACTGAAAATGTACAACTGACTTCCATAGTTATGATTATGAATGAACATCGGTTCTAGCAAATAGCTCATCAAAAGGTTAAATATAATAACAGCTTACTATCAAAGAATTAGAAAAACAACCATTGAAAATAAGATACATGACGATGATGTAAAACTTGGGCAATCAAAATCCTAAGTTAGAGGACACAACATGATGACAAAACAAGACAGACAACACAAATGTCAGAGACTAGTACTAGAGCAACTAACATTTAATGTATCAGTACAGATATAATTCATTCTTTTCATTTCTTTATATATGTTAACACCTCTTTAATGAGCATTTACATATTTTCTTAACAAAGGAACAAATATTTATTGCACTTGTACATTATCTAGAATTCTGGTATTGGAAATATTTCTTTCTTCATCGTGTACATGTTTATCATATTTTTTTGTAGAATTTCAATATTGTGCTTAGTTGTAGTTTGAATATTACCTACAAATAATTTCATATGACATTTCTATCTCTTTTTGTGGCAACTGAAAGTCTGTAAAATGAACACATTAAATCTGTTATAATGCGGCTCCACCACCTGACCATTCCATTCTATGCTGGGCCTCTACAAATGCTAGCCAATCAGATGAATGTGTTGGTAAAAGTCCCATCACCTGACATTTATAAACAGCCAATACGAGGCAAACAATATTTCCCAAAATATATACAGCTTTCTGAAGATATGAGCCTTCAATTGAACCAAATGTAGCCTGAATACTTATCAAAGCTTGAAAAGGGCGGAAAAACATCATCCCCACCATCATAATAGGAAATATTGAAATAGAATTTCCTGCCATCCACATAATGAAAAAGTTCATAGGAATCTGTTTGAGTGGTCCCAGCGCAATATCCCATGATCTTTTATCAATAAGTTTCTGTGTATCAGGACTATCCTCTTTGTCATCATGTCTTGCTACTGTAGCATCTTCATTGTATCCTGCAAAAGTAATTTACTCACGTTAATCTATATATTCCATAATGAATGTAATTACACAGTCATTACATGATTAGTCCCAGGTAAATAAACAGCTGTGCCATGAGCCCATAATATGCCCTTCATCTTGTGTGTGAATTTTTATGCAATAATCATAAATAGTTTCTGACATACGGCCTGACATGCGAAAACCCACTTTTTTTTACAAAAAACTCAATATTTCTAAAATAAAATTTTGAATCAAAACCAAAAAGTATACAGATCTTTAGATTAACATGATTAATATAACTAAGAAGTGTGTAAAATTTTAAGCAATAATCATAAATCTTTTTTGAGATTTGGCGCGACATGTGAAAACCTCCCTTTTTAAAAATAAATCAATATACTTTTTGGTTTTGATTCAACATTTTATTTTTTAGATATTGATTTATTTTTAAAAAAAGGGAGGTTTTCACATGTCGCGCCGTATCTCAAAAATGTTGAATCAAAACCAAAAAGTATACAGATCTTTAGATTAATATAACTAAGAAGTGTGTAAAATTTTAAGCAATAATCATAAATCGTTTTTGAGATACGGAGCTACATGTGAAAAACCCCTCCCCCTTTTTTTACAAAATACTCAATAACTCAAAAATCAAATTTTGAACCATCACCAAAAAGTATACAGATCTTAAGATTAATATAACTAAGAAGTGTGTAAAGTTTTAAGCAATAATCATAAATTGTTTTTGAGATACAGCGCGACATGTGAAAAAAAAACACACACCTGTTTTAGTTACTAAGTCCCGTAACTCAGAAAGTTTTAATCTTATTTTCACCAAAAAGTATACAGATCGTTTTACCATCATAAGAAACAACTATTTTAAGTTTCATGAAAATTGGATAAGTCGTTCTCAAGTTACGGTGCGACATGTTTACGCCGAACAGACAGACAGACAGACGGATAGACGACATTTGTATACCATAATAGGTCCCGTCAAAATTTTGATGGGCGTATAAAAATGATAAGAAATTAACAATTCACTACAAAACAAGAATTTTGATAGTGATATAAAATCCTAAAATAAAATAAGCTACATGTATACTTAATTTGATAATGTTTAAATAAACATATTTGATCAAAACATTTTTTTTTACAATGATAATTAATTTATAAGTCTAAAGTTGTTACAAGTACCTTATTGCTACAGCTTTCACGAACAAGGTACCCTGATATATTACTATCTTTAAGAACAGGGTGTCTAAAAGATCAGACTTACTTTATAATTGTTAGTTAGTTACATCTTTATTACATAAATGCAAATCATTTTAATCATCTTAATTGGTAATTACATATTTTTTGTTCCTGAAACCTTTACTTTATAACCTGGAATGATTGAAGGATATATTGTTTGTGTTGATCTTATTAATTTTGGATTATAATCATAAGGTAAGGAAAGTATTGTATGTTATTGTTGATCTTATTAATTTTGGATTATAATCATAAGGCAAGGAAGGTATTGTATGTTATTGTTGATCTTATTAATTTTGGATTATAATCATAAGGTAAGGAAGGTATTGTATGTTATTGTTGATCTTATTAATTTTGGATTATAATCATAAGGTAAGGAAGGTATTGTATGTTATTGTTGATCTTATTAATTTTGGATTATAATCATAAGGTAAGGAAGGTATTGTATGTTATTGTTGATCTTATTAATGTTGGATTATAATCATAAGGTAAGGAAAGTATTGTATGTTATTGTTGATCTTATTAATTTTGGATTATAATCATAAGGTAAGGAAAGTATTGTATGTTATTGTTGATCTTATTAATTTTGGATTATAATCATAAGGTAAGGAAGGTATTGTACATGTATATATGTTATTGTTGATCTTATTAATTTTGGATTATAATCATAAGGTAAGGAAGGTATTGTATGTTATTGTTGATCTTATTAATTTTGGATTATAATCATAAGGTAAGGAAGGTATTGTATGTTATTGTTGATCTTATTAATGTTGGATTATAATCATAAGGTAAGGAAAGTATTGTATGTTATTGTTGATCTTATTAATTTTGGATTATAATCATAAGGTAAGGAAAGTATTGTATGTTATTGTTGATCTTATTAATTTTGGATTATAATCATAAGGTAAGGAAGGTATTGTACATGTATATATGTTATTGTTGATCTTATTAATTTTGGATTATAATCATAAGGTAAGGAAGGTATTGTATGTTATTGTTGATCTTATTAATGTTGGATTATAATCATAAGGTAAGGAAAGTATTGTATGTTATTGTTGATCTTATTAATTTTGGATTATAATCATAAGGTAAGGAAAGTATTGTATGTTATTGTTGATCTTATTAATTTTGGATTATAATCATAAGGTAAGGAAGGTATTGTATGTTATTGTTGATCTTATTAATGTTGGATTATAATCATAAGGTAAGGAAGGTATTGTATGTTATTGTTGATCTTATTAATTTTGGATTATATTCATAAGGTAAGGAAGGTATTGTATGTTATTATTATCGAAATATAATTTTCATTTTCTTTCATCATGTTTTGTAAATTTTGTGTTATAATTTGTCATATTTGTTTTTGTAATTTGTTTTGTTATAAATTAGGCCATTAGTTTTCTCAATTGAATTGTTTCATATTTTTCATGCTGAGACCTTTTAAAGCATGTGCAAGCCATACTGATAAAAAGCCTGGAACCAGTGGCTTGACTTCTATTATTTGAGAGGCATGGGTCTGGGAAGCAGCCCACCCTCAGAATCTATCTGACTATCAAGACTTTGTAATTTCAACAAGAGGTATTGAAAATGGAAGCGGATGTTTTATCTAATTTTATCCTATAGTTATCATGGTTATAGCCTTCTACTATGTTATAATCCCAAATATAGAGTAGACAGGGGTTCAAGTTAACATTTGGTACTGGAAGGTCCAGGACCTTTGACACTCCAAACTGAAAGGTCCACAGCCTAAATTCCAGGTCCTACTTTTACTTGAAATATTTCCTAACATAGTAAGATACAAGTAACAAAATTAATGTGCTGTTGGTGTTAGGTCAACTTGTTTTATTGTCAAAGTCACTGTTGTATAAAATATTTAATAACAATTGTAATTGTCTTGTATACTACAAATTCAGATAATCTTTTTTTTTTGTTATTGAGGAGGGTGTCACCATGGGTGGGTGTGTTGTCTCAACTATTGGTAATTTATTACTACTTATACCATTTTATAAAACAGTTCAAATTCAAAGCTGTTTAAGCAGAGACGTATATACATGTGTATATATGTCTCTGGTTTAAGTGTATCATATTTAGTTGCAATATTATAATGCATTAGTTCCTCTGTGAAAATAAGATAAGAAACTTCCAGATTTGTACTGGTCCTTTAAAATTGAGAAGACATTACCTCTTGGAATTGTAGTAATACGTTTACACTATACAAAAATCTACATGTAATATCAATATTTATTAATGATAAAGAAAATTACTGTCACATTTTTTTGGCTTTGAGATGAAAATTTATGAACTAAAAGTAATTTTGAGTTTCTGTAAAAATATATTTCCTACTTTTTCTTTCTTTTCAATATATCTTTTGGTTTTCAATTCTGGTGTTTATATCTTATCATCATAGATGTATTTTGTCAACTGCCTGGAATTATTATTTTTTCATTGTATTTGATCGGCAATGTTGTTTTGTCAGTCAGATACGATTTTACTCGGATTTAAACATTACTAGTTGGCAATTTTCGGTATAAAGCTAGTGGTTGAACAAAATGTACATCGCTGTCATGAACTAGAGGCTCTCAAGAGCCTGTGTCGCTCACCTGTATTTACTGATGCTTTGGAAATCATGTAAAATAAGGTTAAAATCATAATTAATAGTATTAGATATTAGATATTATAATGATATCTAAGATAATAACAAAAAACTGCAAAATTTTTGTAAAATTACTCAGGGGCAGCAACCCAACAACGGGTCGTGGGATTTGTCTGAAAATTTCAGGGCAGATAAATCTAAATCTGATGAACATTTTTGCCACCTGTCAGATTTGCTCTAAATGCTTTAGTTTCAGAGATATAAACCAAAAACTGCATTTTACCCCTATGTTCTATTTTTAACTAAGTTGGCCATGATGGTTGGAAGGCGGGGTCATCGGACAAATTTTTTAAACTAGATACCCGTATAATGATTATGGCCAAGTATGGTTAAATTTGTATCAGTAGTTTCAGAGAAGAAGATTTTTGTAAAAGATTACAAAAATTTACGAAAAATTGTTAAAAATTGACTATTAAGGGCAATAACTCCTAAAGGGGTCGACTGACAATTTTGGTCATGACAACTTATTTGTAGATCTTACTTTGCTGAACATTATTGCTGTTTACAGTTTATCTCTATCTATAATAATATTCAAGATAACCAAAAACTGCAAAATTTCCTTAAAATTACCAATTCAGGGGCAGCAACCCAACAACAGATTGTCAGATTTGTCTGAAAATTTCGAGGCAGATAGATCTTGACCTGATAATCAGTTTTACCCTATGTCAGATTTACTCTAAATGCTTTGGTTTCAGAGATATAAGCCAAAATCTACATTTTACCCCTATGTTCTATTTTTAGCCATGGCAGCCATCTTGGTTGGTTGGCCGGGTCATCGGACACATTTTTTTAAACTAGATACCCTAATGATGATTGTGGCCAAGTTTGGTAAAATTTAGCCCAGTGGTTTCAGAGGAGAAGATTTTTGTATAAAGCTAACGACGACGGACGACGGACGCCAAGTGATGAGAAAAGCTCACTTGACCCTTCGGGTCAGGTGAGCTAATAATAATGATGAAAATAAATTTTGAGATTGTTTGGAAATTTTTGTTTAAAAAGGTCGGCAGTTTATTTTTATTTTCTTTCAAACCAGAAGGTCCGTCGGGCGTAGCTTGTAACCAAAACGAGAGTCCGACTGCAAAAATGGAAGGTCGCGAACCTCGGACCACCGCTAATTTGAACCCCTAGTAGAGTGACCAATACAATGACAAAATTACCATAAAGTAGGACTCTTTTACTGCTTTTGTTTCACCCCTGATATTTGTTGGAAGGTGTTAAAATAAGACTGAAGAGCTGATACAAACATGATTTTTGTTTATAAATGTCATAATTTGTAAAATGTATAAATAAAAGGTGGTCTTAAAAATAAGGGGACGAGTCCCAAATAACAGTAAGAAAATCAATAAACCGAAATATCAGTATAAAAATCAATATACTAATGAACTCAAAATCATTAAAAAAAAAAATTCTGACAATGAGCTTGTGTATAACCCTGTTCCTGTTCTGCTGACAGACACTGCCATGTTGTACATGTAAAAGTGAGTCATACAATTTCCAGCAAATTTGTATAAATGATTACCAAAAAAGAATGATGAGGACGTACATTTGAAATTTATTCTGTTTGTATACTTGTACAAATGTAATAAAATGAATCTAGAGCTTATTCAACACAATACAATTTTAAAGCAAACAAAATGAGTTCTTTGGGGAAACTCACCTCAGATCTATCAGGCAGATTTTTGTTTCATTACAAAGATCTGTAATATGCCGACTTTGTATGTTCGTTGTTTTTGAGTATATAAGTTATTATGTTTTTTTATGTGAAAAATGCGTTTCTTTCTTTACATTGTAAATGACGTCATTATATATAAATAAATTTCCTAACAATTGGACCAACAATGGATACGTTTTCATAATTCAGTTACTTAAAAATCTTTCTTTTTCACCAGAAATTATGCCAGGATTTTATTTTTACAATAAATGTTTATATACAATGTATTAGTGATTTTAAGATGAATATATCCAACTTTCAAAATAAATGCATGTTTACATCTTAAAAATTTAGCCAATACACATCCATACCCCTATAGACAAGTCAAGAGATGTTCCGAAAACTGTAAATATTACGTTATACCTTTTTGCACCTGGCCTTATCACTGTTTCCACATCAAAATCAGTTAAAATAAAACATTCAAAAATTTATTTCAGCTCTCTTCATTCAGTCAAAGATATAACTCTATAGGGTTATTACAGAAAATAACTTGCGTGTGTTATTACAGATACTTTCATGAGTTGTCTACTCTTTATTCCTTAAATTTTCTAAATCTGTAATAACATATGTTTGTTATTTGTAAAATTATTTCATTTATAGTGGGCTCTAGGGAACTCTTGAGACTTTGCGCAGAAACTAAATGCATAGCCTTGATAACTAATTTTTTAATTAAATTAATTCATTTTTGATTAACCATGGTAAATCAATGAGACGAGGCTATTAAGGGATAAACTTAGCTGTGATAACAAGGCTAGGTTATTAAAGGAATGGAACTTATTATATAAGACACTTGGGAATTACTGAGAAACTTGCGCAGAACCTCATTACATGCTCTGGTCATTATTTCTTACAATAAATTAAAATACATTGTAATTAAGCATGATAAATGTCTGAGCAAATGCTTTGAAGTGATATAGAGAAGCTGTGATAACACCCTTTAGTTATTACAGGCACATTTTTTCTGTAATAACATATAGGTGTACTATGCAAAATTGGCAAACTATGAACTGTTATATTTTTCAATAGTTAAGTATACATATAGACAAAAGTAATATCAATAGAACTTTTATACATTTTAACTAAACTAAAGATGTATATTGTCCCTTTGAAACATGTAACATACATATGTTATCACAGTTCTTTGATTTTTTAGTCCATAATAACAAATGTATGTTATTTTTCTGTAATAACCCTATAGAGTTATATCCCTGACTGTCATTCATTTCCACCCAATAAAAACTAAGAAATGTATGAGGAAGGGAAAGGAAAAAAAACACTTTAATTAAAGGGAACTAAATTCGTGGACAACGAAAAGCAGGATCATTAATTGTGGTCTGGGGCCTATTAAGTGTCAAAAACTTGATAAATTCCAATAAAACTTGGCACGATTTAAGCTTCGTGTATAATGAGACAGTTTACCCAGTTTCAAAGCCATATGATATCAATTATAGAAAATACGGCCATTTTTATATCTGAACTTTGGTTGCTGAATTGTGATTGAAATAGAATTTCAACTATCAAATGTTTGCTTCAAAAAACAAATAAACACTAAAATGTGCACTTTTTAATGTCTCTATGTATAAGATAATATCTATTTAAAGTAACAGATAGCATACTGAATGTATTAGACTTATAAAATACTGTCCAAAACTAATTTTATATGAGCGTGTGCCAAAAAATCGTTCACAATCGTTCCAAGAAAACACCTGTCCATTACTAAATCTCATATATGTCGTAAAGAATAATGGTCAAATGTTAACCTATAGGTTTCCTTAAATCTGTGTTTAACTGAACAAGTGCTTTTTCTCCTTTAGGTCTGCCAATTCCAGTAAAATCGATAGACCACTTGTGCAGCTTTCTTCGTGACATTTTCTGTTTCACCTGGCAAATTGTATGCCAATGAAACAAGGATCCAGTTATTTTAGTACCGCAGCATAAATCTATCTAATAACCAGTACTTTTATTTCTAAACTACATACCCTAACGTCCTTCAATAATTGTGTGTTGAAAATGTCATAGCAATTATATGTAGCACCAAGGTACGATAAGCCGTCGGTGTTTTATTCCTTATTTTTTTTATATTAAAAGATAATGAATTTATTCCTCAATGCAGACTTCCCTCAAGTATTTTAATATTTTTAAAAATATGATTATTTTTAAATTAAATAACTTTGTATCATGATTCTCACTGAAGAATGTGTCATAGTTTTAAGAAGCTTAAATCGAACAATCTTTACATGCTTTGGGCAAAATTTCAAAGTACCAGTAGTGTCAATTCTGTCAACGTTCAAACAATGACAAACAGTATTATCAGAGGGACCATCTGCAGTAATCATGTGTCTCAGAAGGAACAGCAGTTCAGGGTCCTTTCTTGTTTCTTGTTTCCATTAACGACATGCCACATAATATCTTTCCACCTGCCAGACTTTTTGCAGATGATTACCCGTATTGTACCCTATAATGTTAACGATGAAAAGGATGCTAAACAATTTCAAGAAGACATTGAAACCCACAAAGATGGAAGGCAGCCGCCTTATGGAATTCAATCCTGATAAAAGTGATGTTATCAACATTAATGTTACATCATTAACAAGAGATCATTATACATGTTGACTACAAAATCCATGGCAACAAAACACCGTTGGGCCTAACCTTCAGCACCAGCATATCCATTGTACCATTGAACACACACATTGACAATATTACGAAGAAAGCAAACTCCACCCGAAAATTTAATTCTAAAAACATTCGATTAGCTGCATCAAGAATGTAAAAACCAAATGCTATACCACCATAGTAAGACCGAATCATACAATATCGCTGTTGTTTCAACACTTGAGGTATTCAAGGTTGGAGTTCAGACTCTGGGGTAGGTGTAGACAGCTTTGTTTTAATTGTAAATACAGATTCTTTGTAAGTGCACTTTCGTTACCCTTGTCTGAATTGTGACTGAAATAGCTGCAAATGTCTTTTTTTTCGAATTCAAGATTGTATACATAAAAAGTAAAATAACAAAAATACCGAACTCCAAGGAAAATTCAAATCGGAAAGTCCCTTAATTATCAAATGGCAAAATCAAAAGCTCAAACACATCAAACGAATGGAAAACAACTGTTATATTCCTGACTTGGTACAGGTATTTCCTTATGTAGAAAATGGTGGATTAAACCTGGTTTTATAGCTAGCTAAACCTATCACTTGTATGACAATCGCATAAAATTCCATTATATTGACTCTTTACACTAAATCTGTTCGATGTGCCAGTACTGATGGATATTTTATTTTGAGAAAACATGATTTATTCATTAGTATTGAACTAGCCTTCAGAAACTGCGATTCTTATGGTATGTCTATTGGCTTTTTGGCTTTTTGTTAGTTAATTTTTGTGCTTCGTGGTGATCTGAGGAGTGCAGCCCATGCTTATTTAAATTGTTCTTATGTCACGCACTGCAGTGTGCTGTTCGGTTAATCTTTTTACCACCAAATACCGCCAAACATCAACCGAACACCTTATGAACACCACGAACACACATTAATATATCCGGCTTTTATCTTTATTTATATATTTGACAATCCTTCTGAACGAGGATGAATATGTTGATAAATATATCTACAAAATAATAAGAAATAGTTACCAGATATCACCAAAGAACCATGATAGACGTCTTCTTTGTCCATATCTTAGTTTTTCAACGATCCCTTTGAATAAGCTTTTCCGCGATTAATGATCTTCTTTATTAATCCGAGTCAACTCTTAAATTAATTCATTTTATAATAAAAACTCTTTAACGAGCTAATCCCAGTTTAATGGAGGGTTGAGCGCTCCCAAACATGTTTAGTCACGCAGTATTTGCCCATGCTCGTCCCAAATAAAGGCAACAGTAGTATACCGCTGTTCGAAACTCATAAATCGATAGAGATAAAAACAAATCCGGGTTACAAACTAAAACTGAGGGAAACGCATCAAATATAAGAGGAGAACAACGACACAACAAAAACACAACATTAAAAATGTAACACACACAGAAACGAACTATAATATAACAATGGCCATTTTCCTGACTTGGTACAGGACATTTTAAGAAAAAAATGGTGGGTTGAACCTGGTTTTGTGGCATGCCAAACCTCCCGCTTTAATGGCAACGTCAAACACAACACCAAAACGACATCACATGACAGGACCACAATACAAATAAATGGGAGAACATATTGGACAAAGAAACACACGAATAATAGCTAACAAAAGGTACTAGGCTTAAAATTCAATACGCCAGACGTGCGTCTCGTCCACACAAGACCATCCATTTTCTTCTCTCCTCCATTGTTAGATATTATAAATAACTATAAAATGCAGACCATGAACTCTGGTGGCTGTCGTTACTACTCATGGTTGGGTTGGTATATGCACTACCTGGCGGACTATTCTATAGATCATGATGCCCTTTGCTCTTTTCTTCTCTCCTCCAATGCAGACCATTCAATGTACTGAAGCACGGATGTGCCGCTGTTGGTTACGTTTTACTACACAGTATGATAAGTCATTTAAATGTAATTTAATGGTTCTTCTTCCAGATAGCCTGCATAATTTTCCTGAAGAGTTGTCGTAGAATTGATGCTACATGCCTACCAGGAAACAAATAAAAATCCAACAAGATAATTTACCATTAAGGATGTAAATCCTCTTAATAATTATGTTACTACTACATGCAACTCAAATTGTCATTGTATTTTACCTCTAAGGTTGAAATAAGTCATTCCCGTTTCCCTTTGAGTTTTGTTTTTTTTTTTTTTTTCGTGGGTTTATTTTGTTTTGGGTTTTTCTGGTTGTTTTTTTTTTTTTTTTTTTTTGTTTTTTTGTTTTTTGTTTTTTTGGTGTTGGTTTGTTTTTTCCCCATTGTTTTCGCATTTTTTCATCCTATACCAAACATACTTGAATTCCTACAATACTATTTTTTGATGAAATATCAGTCACGATGATAGGAAAACTCACCATTTTATATGTTATATAAAAAAAAAAAAAAAAACAAAGACGAAAGACTTAGTGTTTAACTAATATAAATGATTGGAAATTATTAACACTACGTCAACTATTATTAGTAAATAAGGGTAATGCATACATATTCACCTCCAAGCAATGTTAAATTAGTTAAAAAGATCAAATGGAAAGTATGATCTCTTTTAAAAAGCTTAAGAGAAAGCCAGTCCCTATTTTGTTCCTAGCTACTTCGCAGTCAATTCAAGCAAAAAACAAACAAAAAAATTTAAATTATTCTATCTATTTACTTGATATACGAAAAGCCTCTTGATGTTCAAACAGAGTTAATACTATTTATTTTCTTTTAACAGTACAACCATCTTTGGCACTGTTGTGGTAAAATCCTGTATTTCTTATTACATGTTCCATCCCCTTTTCATTTTGTATATATACTACTTTATTCTACTTACTTTTTTTTCTCAGTCATCCACATCCTACTATTTTTATCAGTTGTTGACAGTCACTGTTGCCTCTCACACACGAAAATCAGTTTATAGCCATTATTATATTATGAGCCCTCTTAGTTCCCAAACGTGTCCTATATTACACAAAGTAGCTACTTTAATAATACCGTTATGTCAAACTTTGACCTAAATACATATAGGGCACGCGTTGGGTCAAATTACTCGCGGTCTACTCGATTGCCTAAGTATCTACGCCTAACTCTGGATCAACTTGTAGTAATACTGATTATAACAAATTACGAATCTCTTGGTGTACATTTATATGTCTTATGTCGAATAATATGCAATATTGAAATTACAAAGTTATTTTATGCTTTACTGAATGTAAGATTGAACTATTACTCAAAAGAAGAACATAAGCTTGATGATTTTCAGAACATGAATTTGAGCGTATTGTCGTTGTTGGTGATTTTATTGACCATCATAAAGGCAATAATTATTGCCACGTGCTTATGGTTATTTAATCTTATATATAGAGCTGGTGATATAGAAAAAAATCCCGGTCCAACTGTAAATTCTATAAGTATATGTAGTAGCTGTTCAACACATACCGATTCCTTGCTCACTGGTAGTCAGTTTCTAACCTTTACATGTTTAAATACACAAAGTTTCTTAGCGAAACGAGACATAATTCAAGCTGAGTTTAGCGACAGAGATATTTTGTTATTTACCGAAACCTGGTTCAATCAAAATACTGATGACAGCGATATTAAATTGGAATCTTTTAATAAACCATACAGAACTGATAGAAATCATAAAGTAGGAGGGGGTGTGGCTATATATGTGAAAGAAAATATTTTTAGTGAAGAAAAACCTGAATTTAAAATAAACGGATTGGAATGTTTATGGGTCAAAATTCATGTTAAAGGAATAAATATATTGTTTGGGAATTTTTATAGACCGCCAGATTCAGATAACCAAATCTGGGAAAAAATAAATTATTCAATAGATCTCGCCATAAATTCGAATGCAGATAAAATTATAATTTGCGGTGATTTTAACGATGACCAACTTAATCATAGCAAACAAAAGTTAAGAGAAATATGTAACCAAAATAGCTTATATCAAATAACTGATGCTACATATTTTTGTGAAAGGTCAGTGTCGTTGCTAGATCTAATAATGGTAAATGATCCGGATATAATACTGTACTCAGAAGTTGGTGAAAACATCCTTGAAAATTCTGTACGCTATCATTGTCCTATAAGTGCAGTAATAAATATCGAAAAACAATTAACAAAATCCTTTAAAAGGAAAATTTGGCAATATCACTTAGGCGATTATGATTTGTTTAAAAACGAACTCCTTAAAAATAACTGGGATACTTTAATTGATAATCAAAACATAAATACCGCGGCAGTAAATATTACGGAAAAAATTCTTGAAGCGGCAGAAAAATCAATCCCAA